TAGTAACTGGTGCTGAGGGTATGTGTACATTGGGGGGTCATTTGCAGAGTGGGGAAGGAAGCCTGCCATGGGCCTCCACCTCAGACTCCACTGGGGGCTGAACACAGCTGGAGGCTGTGCTAAAAGTCACAAATAGTCGGGAGGCCTCTGGTCCACAGGACTGTCCAGACAGCTGTTGGACTGAAGCTTGCTTGTTGTTTGACTTGTACTCCATCAATTTCCCCTTGGAGGGAGCCGGCCTCTCCTGGCGCAGGTGCCACACACCACTGGGTTGTTTAACTCCATTGATTTTCTTCCCTGGCTTAACTCTGTTTTCTCGAAGAGTCCATGATTTCTGATTTGCCTCTCTGAACTCAGATAAAATATTTTAGTTTTACTTGGTGATTTAAGTCCCAAGTGTTATTTGGGGAGTACAATCAATAGTCAGAGTACCTGGATTTGAATGTTGCTTTTGTCACTTATCAGATAGTGAAGGATAAATTAACATAATCTTTCTAGACATCTCTTTTTCTCATCTGTAAAATGGGGCTGATAACACCTCCTTTTTAAGGCTGCTGTGAAAATCAGTTGATAAGTACATCTGAAAATCTTTAAATGCTTAAGTGTGTGTCCATTTCCCACACTCTTAACACCAAACATTTCTGTGTACAGTGTTGAAAATTTATAGTGTTAGGTTACTTCAGTCAAATGTGCTGAGAACTGCTAACGCTGTCCACGCACATAAATCATATTTGTGCACTCTGAAAAAACCAGAGCCTGGGGGGGGGTGTGTGTGTGTGTGTGTGTGCGTGTAGGAGAGAGCTTTATCCTTGAGAGAGGCATTCTGGAATGTGTTATAGATGGGACCTGAGTGCCACCTCAATGTCACCTTCAGAATTTTAGGTCGAGGTGAGATTCTTGAGATATTAACTATGTTGTCTTTTCCTCTTTGTTTCCCAATACTTCTGAACAAAACAGGCATTTCATTATGTCATGCACAAATAAATCACCATTTCCATCCATTCTTCCATCACCCAGGCCCTTTTTGAAATCTCTCTCTTACTTTCTCTCTCTAATTTTGAGCTGTATCTTTAGTTCATACCATGCCTTGGAAATCCATGATCCTACAATCCATTGCCACCAGTAAGTTTGCTTCTGTTTGTAAACATAACTTATTATTCAAGGACTGTCTTCCCCCACCATCTAATACCAAATATTGGATAATAAGACTGTATTAATCCTATCTACTCATATGACAAGTTATATTGTGATCATATGCTCTCATAATTCCAGTCTGATTAAAGAATTACCATTATTTGAGAGTATTTCCCTTACTCCTATCCCATATTACTTTAATAGTTTAAATGTTGTTATCTGAGACACTCTAGTATATGTTTCCTGCAATTAGCAATGGAATTGATGTGTGGCTATTTTCATCTGAAAGTTAGGCTTTTTAGAAGTATTTGTTGTCATTTCTGATCTGGAAAGACAATGAACAACAGTCTTAAAATTTGGGTTGAGGCTGTATGTATATATGAAGTGAAAGAGGCCCAGCATAGCTGCTTTATTTACTTTTGCAATCTTGACGGTCGGAGCTGATGGCTATGTGGTCAGCTGTTTATGTGTGATGATGTTGCTACAGGATCTTCTGGTCATCCTGGACAACCAGGGCCTGAAGGAGGTTATGACTGTAAAGTCTGTGAACATGTCATGAGTTGGAAATGTAAAGACCGCCAGTTATCAGCGTGCTTTCCACGTGCTACCTCTGAGCGACCCTGGAACATACAGGGGACTATTCTAATTCAGAGCTAGTTAGTGAGCTGGGCTGTGTCACTAGGAGCTGACAGCAACTGCTGGCAAAGCAAATAGGCTGCCGTTCACAGATTTGTGAGGCATCCGTGGAAGGCAGATGCACGAGGAGGGAGAGTGATGGGTTTGCTACAGAGCAAACTTCTACTGGGGTCAGAGCAGAGGGGACAGCAGGCTCCACAGTAATAGATGAATCTTAGGACCATATTCCCTGTGACAAAACTGCAACACAAGAAAACCACCAAGTATGTCCAGGTAAGCATCATATGCTACTTACCTATGCTGAAGAAATGGACGCCATATTTAACTCCTAGCTCAGTGAAATTTGTTTCCTTTTCTTGAAGGGAGGGGCTATAAAAGCTTCTTTTATTCTATAATCTAAGCAAATGTAAGAATGACTCTCTTTATAGAAGTGTAATTATAGACAATCATATTTAATAAATCTGTTTCATAAAGAAAGAAGTTCACCAGTAAGGAAATCTTTTGTAACTCATTTTTGGTCAAAGAGTGAAATCACCTTAGGGTCATACATGACAAAACTTCTGTGTCTCCAATATCTATGTCCAGTGACTAAGGGTCGATGTGCTCATACTGACAGTGTCCCTTTGTGACTAAAATAGCCTCTGGTGTAAATACTTATGTACCTGTCAGATTCTTCCCCTTGGCTTTGATCCTCTCAAAGGCATAGGTCGTGTGCTGCTCAGCTGAGTCCCTAATCACTCAGGGTAGCACTTATCTTTGTAGGAATTTAATGAATATTTTTAGAATTGATTTGAATAATTGAGAAAGTCTGTCCTCATACCCCAGATCCCTGCAGGAAAATCACAAAAGTACATTCTCTAGAAATAGGCACTGTCTCAGACGTCACTGTCCTTCAAAGTCAGCTTTGCCAAAGTCCCTCCAGCTACCTACCAGGCGGAGACAGGTTCTCAAGTGGTGTTTGAGGTGTCAGCACTTCTAAAACTCCCAAGGAGAGAAGAAAGTAAGATTTGGACTTCTCCAGTAATCTCAGAAAGGAAGTTTCCCCTAGAGGGAGGACAATTCCCTCGGGGAAGGGCCTGTGCCTTTTTATTGGCCATAATCCCCTGCCTGGCTGAGCCGCGTGGCAGGGTGAGAGCATTACGGTGCCAGGCTGGTGAGAAAGCTCGCAGCGCTGCTGGCCGGAGGCCAAAAGTGGGCCTGTGCACGCAGAGCGCGGACACGCCGCACGATTCAGCAACATCTGTGTCTTTGCCTGTAGGTACATTAAAGGGCAGGGATCGGAAGCTAACTCACCCGGAAAGGCAGCCAGAAGGCGCGGAGGCAAATGGTACCACGGAGCGTCTGAATAGTCTTCCCTGAGATTTCTTCCCCAGCGTCTTGCCAGTTGACGACTGTAGTTAATATCTTCTCAATTCTTAAGCAGCTAAACAATCTCGGTTTCAGTAGATGGAGCACAACAGGGACTTAGGGGTCCAGGGAGTCGCTGAGCTCTCTGGAGAGTGTGTCTACAACATGGATGTGAGCAAACTGATTTGAGCCTAATGGGGAAGCTCACAGAGCAGTTTGTACGCACACGACATATACGGACTAGTTAAAAATAACGTTATTAATGGGATGCAGAAAACTATGCAACAGTCACTGCAGGAATTTAGCATAAACGTTGATAGCTTTGAAATATGAGACAAAGGAATAAAGCTGCCATATCCACACTATTTTATGCCACATTTTCTTACATCAGAATTGGAGAACATTAAATTTATTACTCAAGTTGTTTAATGTTTATTCAACTCGAAGTTTTATTAACCTGATTAAAGTTTGTGTTTAGGATAAACCAAACTCAGCTCTTGTGTGAGATGTGAGTAATCCCCGGAGAAATCAAGCGAGAGGATTTTAACCTGCATCTGACTACATTATAGTTTATCTACTTTGATATGCAGACCACACAACCTAATGCAGAGGAACTTGACTTAAACTCTCAAGGGATGCCATTTACAACATCTTCTTCAAGAAAAAAAAATATTTAATACAAAATCTCAAACATATCAAAGAATAAAAACCAACAGTCCAACATTTGGACTCTAAGTTTCCATTGTGAGCAGAGCAACCCCAGTAAACCAGGGGTTGGTTAGGGACAAGCTGGTATCTAGTTGCTATCTTCATTGTAGCAGAATTTATATTTAGATAATTTCCTGAAGAGGCCACGGAAGGGGGCTTACCAGTACCTTTGGGGGAACGTCACCTATACCCTACTGACCTATGCACTATTTATTATGTGACTGGGGCACCAGGATTAAGTGCTGTAGAAGATTCAGATATCAGAGGGGGTGTGTCAGCTTGTCCCTGCCTTTGGAGGAGTTGAAAAAAATATAACTTAGTAGCTTTTGGGGGGGGGGGATGTGAAAAGACGTGTGCATGGAAACCCCCAGAGAAAACAACGTGGAGAAACTTGGAGAGAGAGGAGAGTTGTTTAAGGAGCATTTGACAAGGAGAGAGTGAAGAATCTGCCTGACGGAGACAGAAAAGGCACAGGAGACAGGGGGTGGGTTCAGGAAAAGGGGGTGGGGGGCTCGGGATGCGGAACCCATGCCAGCCTGAGAGTGAGGACCCCTGGTGGCCAGATGGCTGATGGAAACAGTCTGTTGGGCCGGGAGGGTGCAATCAGGTGACGAGAATTTCATGTTGAAGTCTAGAGAACTTAAAGGACCTTCCCTTGCACATTAATAAAAAATGGCAGAGATGCGACTCAACTTCAAATGCTGTATTTAATACTATCCTGTTAACTCCTTGTAAGTTTAATGGAGGTCATCTGTCTGGGTGTTTCATGGCAGCAGTGGAATAGTGTCCGACTCTGGATTCAGCACCATTCTCCCACGGTTGTAGGGTTGACTTTCATGGGAGTTATTCAGTCACATTATCTGGAATGGTCTAGACATACTCTAGCCAGCTGACCTAGAAGCACTCACTTGTACTTAACAGTGAAATGTTTATATTCATTTCCCTTTTACCCTTTCTTGACTTTATTTAATAGATGAGATGTTATTGCTATGGTGTGTTTAATTTTCTAAAAGGAAACTCCCTTCCCCAGATCTACTAATGTAAGGACAACACAACTGCACCGTTAGCATGCTCTGTGCTAACGCAATGTGATGGTGTTGTCTATGGGTTGCCATGACAACCCCCTCGAAGATAAAAATGAAACTGGCATTCATGGTACATATTTTGTTTTCTAGGCTCTTCAATGGCCAACAAGGAATTATTATTCAAAATTTTAGCACAAGATCCATTCTCACTGTCACCAATGTGACACAGGAGCACTTCGGCAACTATACCTGTGTGGCTGCCAACAAGCTCGGCACGACCAATGCGAGCCTGCCTCTGAACCGTAAGTAATGGGGCTGCCCAGATGCTCCCAGGGGGCTTTGGCTCCTGCACATCAGTGGATGTAACCCGTGGAATATGTTTATTTTAGAACTCAGCCCACTAGGACACATTCCTGACACAGAGGAAGCTTTGCCCCCAAATAAGATGGGTGTGGTTCCTGTAGGAGCCTATGTCCACAGAGAAAGAATATCTTAGAGCTCAGAAAAGGGGAAAAATCACTCAAACATAAAGGCTGACTGAAAAGTGTCTTCTCACTAAAGACCGTTGGTTTTGTGGGATTTTGCTGCTGCTGTTTTTTCTAATGAGTTGAGTTATTTTGAAACATAGGTTAATATGGCTTAAATTTACTCTTGGTTGATTTTCATCAGACATTTATCTGGGACTAGCCAGAGTTTTACATGCCATAAATAAAATAGTAAGTAAATTATCATGGACAAAATAGTCTATATATTTTTACTAACATTTTTACTCCAAACTGCATTGTGAAATACAGCTTCAGGTTTTACTCTAATAAATGCTGCATTTCTAATGTATTTTAGTTCATAAGGACTAGAAATGAATAAAGAGAGCAAACACAGGATCAGTTAAAGCAGTGGTTCTCAACCTTCCTAATGCCATGACCCCTTAATACAGTTCCTGTGGGTCGTGACCCGCAGGCTGAGAACCGCTGAGTTAAAGGGAGAGACGCTCACACTAATGCTTCCTCCTCTAATGAACTGCAGTGTTTCCAGAACCAACAGATCGTTATGGCCATAAAATATTCCTAATTTTGAAATCAAGTGTTTCTCAAAATGTTCAAAGACCACTAGAGTCACACAATGCCCTCTGAACCATCCTTATCATAGATAGTCAATATTTTATATTCACCTGGCACATGTATACTTACATTATCATCCCGTGACAGAATCTACCCCTGAGATGCTAAGATTGCAGAGTTCATCACAGACAGGTTCGCTTCCATATTCCAGAAGCAAGGATGCAATCTATGATATTCCTACTAATCAACAATGTACTAAGTCTCATAATTTATGAGTTTTTGCTTATCATAATTTAAGAGCCTCTTATGTTTAAACAAAATACATCAGTTTGCATCACATATTTTACTATTCCAGCTTAATATTCCTTAAGATTTCTTAGTACTCAATTCTGGAAGAAAGACATATGCTTGCTGGAGTTTCTTCCATGAGGATGACTTACTGAGTGTAATTATGAGTAATAGAAACCATTGAAAACATCATGGAACAGTGTGAATTACAATTTAATGTAAATATTGGTACTTCTTTGATATATTATTAATATTTTAAATGGTTTAAATATTCAGCAGCCTAAAAGAATAAATGAATTAACAAAGCAAAGTAAAGAAAATTTCATGGCCTGATAACATAGTAAGTTTTTGCTATTTAAATTTCTAAATTATATGTAGTATTCTGATTTCCAAAACTGGAGCATAGTAAATGTGATACATTAAGAACAAACATCACGTAGTGAAATATTTGTTTTACTCTGACAACCTGCACACAATCATCTGGAGAGAATGCACTGCTGAAAGTTTTCTAAATGTAAAATCATCCCAGTCCATCTCACAATCCCTCTCTGCCACGAGCACCTGCTTTGTAACCTGCTACTCAATGTTGGCACAATTTGATGTAGTCAACAGCATAGCCCTGAGAGTCTGAGGAAATTTCCCTCTATTCAGGACTCTTGTATGACCTCATCCGAAGCTCTTATTACACTCAGATTTCTATTTTGCAATATAAATATTTTTATGTATTTTCAGCTCTCCACCAAATGATAAGTTCTTTAAGAAGACAGCATCAATGTCTGACTAGTTATTTCATCTCTCATATCACCAAGCACAGTGCTATTTGATAGGCAATTAGTAAATCCTTAGTGAACAGGCGAATTAAACATTAATAAGGAAATGAGTGAATGAGTAAACAAATGAGTGGGTGAACTATTTTTTTAGCTGTAGACTGTGCACTTGTAACCCCTACAGACATAAGGCCTTATTGCTGTAATTATAAATAACACTTATAGTTAGCTCATTCTGGACCAGACCCTATGCTAATTTCTTTGTATGAATTTGTTCACTAATTCCCACACAATCCAACAAGTTATAGTCTATAATTCCCCTCTTACAGATAAGAAAACGTGTGAAGAGAATATTAGTGTGGCCAAAGGGAAATGGTTAGTAAGTGACAAGGTAAAGACATGAACCCTGACAGTTTGGCTTGAGAGACCGTAACTACCACATCTCACTGCCTCTTACTGTGAACACAGAATCACCAGCAGAGTGAGAGATAATCTGTACTATTTGCACCATAGTCTTCAAAAGATAAATCTCTGCATGTTACTTAATTGTTACTCTTATGTTTTTTACTGTCTTCTCTTTAATAATTATAGTGATATTATTCAATATTTGAAAGCTCTTTTTAAAAATAAATGTTTAAGTATAAAGAACAACAAACTATATACGAAATTTGAATATATAAAAGTTGAGTGGGGTTGATATCTATCTAAAAACTTATTATGCAAAAATGAGACTTAAGGACAACCAAATACACATTTTTAATAAGGTTTTGAATTTCCTCAGTATAGTGCAATTACCCAACAGGCATTATGAATCTGCAAACTATCAGAGGCTGCCAAAAACAGCATACACATCGTATGAAAAGAAAATACTGTATTAAAATTGTAATACTCACAATATACTAATAGTGTCTGTTGTCTTATATATCGTATCTTGTATCTCTTGTGATTGCGGAAGTCAAACATGACTTGTTTATTACAATTTTAATACAGTTTTTCCTTTTTTTAAATGTGTATTTTTTATATCCTCTGTATATGAGAAAAGGCAGTTTTCTTGAAGTTCATAAGATGCTAAGAGAGAGGATAATATGTCCCTCAAAAAGAAGTCTCCCCACATCTTCACAAAGTCTTTGAGAGGAGCAATGCTCAACCTCTAAAAAGGACTCAAGATTATAAGCTGGTTGATAAAAACGTGCAACAGAGTTTTAGCCACTGGGAATTCATTTTTCATCTATACTGTCTAGCATAAATTCTGGACTATTATAATCTACATTTCTTATTTATAATAATTCACATTTTCCAGATCACCAAAAACATAAAAGGAAAACGGCAGTTTCATTACTAAGACTTTCCTAAGGGCGTACAGCACACTGGTTGTGTGAAGGTGTACGGGAGCCTGTGTGCGCATGTGCTGGAGCCTGAGTGCGCATGTGCGGGAGCCTGCGTATGTGCGGGAGCCTGCGTACGTGCTGGAACCTGCACATGTGCGGGAGCCTGCGTATGTGCTGGAGCCTGTGTGCGCATGTGCGGGAGCCTGCGTTTGTGCGGGAGCCTGCGTACGTGCTGGAACCTGCGCATGTGCGGGAGCCTGAGTTTGTGCGGTAGCCTGCGAGTGCATGCAGGAGGTTGTGCATGTGCTGGAACCTGCGTGTGTGTGTGTGTGCCTGCCTAAGTGTCTTTCTCATCATGGGAGTCAAGCTGGTCTTGGTTTGAATCCCAGTTTTACCAAATAGCAGTTATGTGTGACTTTGGGCAAGTTACCAAAATTCCAAACCTTCAGTTAAGTCGTTAATAAAATGAGGGTAATCAGCCTCCTCCTCCCAGGGTGGGGTTTGAATGAGGTGATATTGCAGCACACTCGTCACTCAGCCCGGGACAGAGGAAGCATTCAATAAACGCTGCCATCATTAGAGCTTTACACCCCCCCTCCCCCACCCAGAGCATGTGGTTAAATTCATTTGAAAGAAAAGTATAGGTGACTGACTTTGATGACTGGTGGCTTCGTACTTTACTGAGAGGTAACTGGGCCGGAGTGGGCCAGGGAGAGGGCATGCAGACGAAAACAGTGTCCCAAATCGAGCTCGTAATTTAACCTTCTTCCTTGCTCAAGGCATTCACCGAATTTTGTGATAATTTTGGAGAAATCTAGAAGATTCATAGAGGAAAAGCAGAAACACTACAATAGTTCTATTTTTAAATTATTCATTTAATAGCAACATTCATTTGTCAAATATATATATATATCTGTGTGTATATGTACACACACACACACATATTGACATCCTACATTTTGCAGAGCACTGTGGCAGGCGTTGGAAAGAAAGCCTTGTTGGGACTGGAGTCCTGTCCTTAGAGAGTTCTCCGGGAGTGAGAGGAGAGGAAGGAGAGAATGAGCATCCGTGATGCTGGGTGGTCAGTGGTACAGACCGTCCAGGCACAGTCAATGGTCTCTGTTGGTGGGCAGAGAGGATGTCTTAATCTAGTCTCTAGGGGCATGAGACTTTCATCTAATGCAGCTGGTATCACCATTTGAATTATAACTGAGGTACAGCTCAAAACCCCCACGTTAGCCATCACTGTCTTATTGTCAGGCTGTCAGACAACACTCATAAGCACAGGGTACAGCGGCACAGGTGTGGGGAGGATCACGTCAGTCTCAAAGGCTCAGGATCAGTTAGAGGAGGGGCCCCTGGGGTAAGGGTGACTGGCGAGAGCCTGGGTGTGCTAATGGTGATAGAAGAGAGAAAGAAACACTGTCGTGTGACCTAGCTCGTGTAAACAGGTGGCCATGGCTGGTGGCAGCAGTTCACCTGCCTCAGCAGCCAGTACTTCAGAAGGCCAAGAGGCAGAAGTCGCTTGAGGCCAGGAGATCAGGAGTTCAAGACCAGCTGGTCAACATGGTGAGACTGTGTGTACACAAAATACAAGAAAAGTTAGCTGGGCATGTAGTTCCACCGACTCAGGAGGCTGAGGCAAGGGATCACGGAAGCCCGTGAGTTAGAGGCTGCAGGGAGCCGTGATGACCCTGCTGCACATCAGCCTGGGCAGCAGAGTGAGACCCTGGGTCAAAAAAAAATGACGTGGATGTCTGGATGAAACAATCTGATATATATGAAGACACTGCGTTCCTTAATTTAGTCAGAGTAAAAGGGGAAAGGAAAGTATTGAGCCATGAGGCTAGACAACTCAGCA